AGGCGGCGGAGGAGGACGAGGAAGAGGAGGAGCAGGAGTCTGAGTAAGAGACTTGCGCCCTGGCTGAGGGGTGGCCCAGGGAGGGGCTACGGTGGGGCTGCTGGGGCTGCCAGGGCTCCTGGGGTGGGGGTGCTTTCTGCTGCTTACAACTCCTCCCTTTGTTCTGTGCTGTGTGCTGTGTGCCGCTGGGCACTGACCAGAGAGGCTGGGGCAGGGGCGCTGGGGGTCCCCCACTGTGCTCATAATGACCTTGGGACTCATGGTACCCAACACATAACAACCACCCCCACACCTCCCACCCCTAAATATACAAACAAATGGAGAATGCAGCCTCCACAAGGTGAGCATTTTTGTCTATTGTCTTCACTGCCATGTCTCCAGAACCTAGAACAGTGCCCGGTATAGTAGGCACCAAATAAACACGGGTTGAATGCTTGAATGGATGTGTGGACCCATGTAGGGGGCTCCCGGTTTTCCCTGTAATTAACAAAGCTAAGGCAGAGAGCTGTCTCTGTCCCTCACACCCTCCCCAATCCTTGGTCCCTAGTGGTTGCCTTTAATGACTTGTAAGGCTGCCCTGGTTTCTGCTCTGCCACCCATTAGTGGTTAATTCTCCACCCATATCCATAAAGATTTCAATGTTAAAAAACACAGAAGAATTCAGCTACAATAAAGTTTAAAATGGGGATCAGAAATCACTGAAGATTATAATCATCAAACTTGCTCAGAGACTAGATCTTAATTATTTCCACCATTAAAAAGAAATGATAATTATGTGACATGAGAAAGGGGTTCATTATCGCTCCAATAGCAACCATATTCAAATATATGAATGTATCAGTCAGCATGTTGTACACCTTAAACTTACACAATGTTATATGTCAAATATATTTCAATAGTAAGAGAAGAAACCACAAAGAGGGCGAGGATTTTGAGCATTATAGGGTGGACAGAAGGGCAGATGGAGAGGTGGATACACAGGAGGGGAAGAGAGACAGTTGAGTGCCTGGGTGGAGTTAGGGAGTGAGAGGTGGTACCCGAGATAAAAAGGTGGGAGTCTGGTCTGGAGGGAACTGAAAGCCAAGGGACTGGAGGAGATGCCTGGGGAGTGAGTGTGGATGGAGGAGAGCCCAAAGGCCAGATCAGAAGTCAGAGAGATAAGGGAGAACTAGAAAGGACTGGGGAGGAGGCGCCCGGAAGGGGAGAGGGAAGCGAGAGGAGGATGGGGCCTGGAGGCCCAGTTGGAAAGTGTGTCACGGAGGAGGGAGGTCAGCTGCCTCAAGAACAGCCCTTGTGTCCCAGGAACAGTGACCATGTAGCTCGTGGAAGTGGGGGGAGATGATCCTTCAGAGGCGGTGGGACCAGATCATAAAAGCCTTGAAATTGATTTCCCAGGAGCACTAGGGAGCCACTGAAGGTTTGTGAGTTGAGGAGTGACACAAGCTGGCAGCTGCATTGTGGAGAGACTGAGGCAGGAGGAGCAGCCAGGTGGCTGTTGTAGTAGAGACCAGGCCAGATGATTTAATCTGTCCCCTTGCTCCATCCTCCTTGCATTATTCCCTGTCCCTGTCACTCTGCCCTCCGGGGTACCCCCTGCTCCACACTGTTCTTTCCTGGCCATGGCTTGTGGCAAGGTAGTACTGTGAGTGTTAGTAACACAAGCTTTACTTCTCTTAGCAGAGTTCCCTGAGCAAGAGGCTGACCCACCAGCACAGAGCCTCTGCCACTGCATCTCTAAGATGGGAGGATAATAGCCCCTGCTGAGTGGTCAGAGGGCCAGCTGTGAGAACGGATGCGGTAGGACCTGATGTGGAGCAAAAGCCACTGATGTCCTCATCCTGACTGAGGGTCACTTTAGTCCCAGTCAGGAAAGAGTTAAACCATAAGCCCAACACAGGATTTCTGGGCTGGAAGCTGCTTAGTGTCATCTGTTTTAGTCCACGCTTGCCCAGTTCACATATAATCTTTCCATACTTGCTTGCCTCTAATGACGGGGAGCTCACAATCTCTTGAAGGCTGTCCATTCCATCCATAGGCACCTCTGACTTAGGAAATTGTTTCTTCCACCAAAATTAAGAGTGCTTCTCTCTGGCTTCTGTCCCCTACTCCTAATTCTGCTCTCTGGGCTCCTCCAGAGCCAAGATGCTCTCACTAACAAGCAACTACCCTTCCCCTAGGTGAAGACCTTAGTTGCTCCCTGGCTTCGTTATTACAGCCCTCCTTCTCCTCTGCTTTCCACCTGCCTCTGTGTAGAGTGCACAGCTCTGAGCTGTTCTGCCACCAAACCTGTATGCTCAACACACAGGCCTGCCAGCCCCTTCATATGCCACTGCTCTTGAGCTAAAGCACTGCTTGAAGGCCAGTGAGCCTATGTGCCCACACACAGGCACACACACTAACCACCCACGGGTTCCTAGTGCATAGTACACAGGAGCACATACATATGTGCCAGGTTACACACACACTTATCTGCAGGCAGGGCACTTATACCCACACACAGCCTGCATACATGCACAAGCAACACACACACAGGCACACATGTACACACTTGCACATGTACACACTATCCACAAGTGCATGCATACAGTTACTGACAAACGCTGTAGGCACACACTTGCTCACACAAACGTTCACCTAGAGCTTCAAACTCAAGGAACTTTTGGGCCTGGGGCCCCAGGTGGGATGAGGGCCCTGTAATGACTGAGTGATCGCAGGGCCCGAGCCAGAGGGACAGGCGGGCTGGGCTGTCAGTGGCTGGGGAAGGATGCCAGCTTTGCGGAGGCACAGGGGTTACTGATGACGCGCGGGCCCTAGTAACGGGCAGATGGTCGCCTAGCGACCTGGTCTCTGCTGGCAACAGCTCGGCTTTTCCTAGCAACCGCAGCCTTTTGGTCCCCACCTGGCCTCCCTGGGGGCGTTCCTGCAGAGTTTCCCTGCACATCCCCTCAATCTGATTAGAAGCAGGAAGGACTGGTGGCTCATCTGCCACCCGAGCCACGCTGGCTCCGGAGCTGGCCTGGCAGGCTTGGGGCTGGGCCAGGGCTCCTCAGATTCTCCACTGGCATGCACCAACCAGGGCTTGGGATGAATGTCATCGCCCCCAGCTGAACTTCTGCACCATGGGCGTCCTTGTCGGCAAAGACAGTGAGACCCAAGTAGGTGGCTGCTTCTCCCTGAGTGCTCCCCCACTTTCTTCTTCTGGGGTTAGGGTGCAGGAGGAAGAGTTGGTTGAAAGCAATAGTTAGAACCTTAATTTGGGGGCACAACCTGCGCTGTGACTTAGGGGAGGAGCAGTGGGCTGATAAATTCTTGCCAGCCGGCCGCCACTGCTACTCTCTGCACCTTTAACTTGGAGCGCCGGGGCCTCTGGGATGCCCACCGCAGCCAGTCTGGCTGATCCTCTGCTTGGAAACCCCTGAGCCTTGGGAGCTTTCCAGAAGTTGATGGTCTGCTTCTGGGCATGACTAGGGGCAGCATGACTTTTGGGTATATGGGCCCCAAAGCAGCCCCTGGTGGTGCTGACAGGGCCACTGTAGGGCTTCTTGTGTGTCTTGATAGCTGGAGATGTTTGTGGAAAATGTTCCCCAATCTACACGGGTGATTCAAAGACCTACTTGAACTAATAATAATAATGACAAGAACAATCATAACAGCTGTCGTTGGGTTAGCATTTATTTTCCATGCCAGACGCTGTGCTCAGGCTCCTGCTGTTAATCCCGTTTCACAGAGGAGAGAACTGAGGCTCAGAGACAGCAGCCCACATGCCCAGAGGTGCCCTGCCAATGAGCTCGGGGCTGGGACTTTGTCCACGGCCAGGCTGGCTCCTAAGCGGACCCCTAGTACTACAGACAAGAAAGCTGCTTACCAGTGTTTAGAAGCGGAGAGTCCAGATGACGCCTGACATGGGAGGCTTTTTGACTTTTCCATGAACTTCTCACTGACCCTTCTGACCTCCCTCAAATAAGCCAGGCTGCACAGTACAGGCTGGACAAGTCCTACCCACTTGACAGATAAGCAAACAGAGGCTTCCTCGGGACTTGCCCAAGGCCAT